CCCCCCCCCTGTCTGATATTTCAAACAATAACAACAATAAGAGGGGATTCAACCAGGACCTTTGCAATGAAAAAAAACTAATGGAGAAGAAGCTAAAGCTGAAAAGGGATACAGCTTCACAGTTACATGCAAGACTAAAGAAGGATTACCAGGAGGCTGAGGTTAAAAGGAAGGCCTACATGGCGGTGATCTTGAAGGTAAAGCACCAACGAGCAAATTTGCCAAAAGCACCTGCATACATCTATTGCGAAAATTGTAAGAGAGACGAACACAATTTATCAGGCTAGTCTAAAACCAGATACAGTGTGGAGACGGCTTTGCTTGGGCTTGGAAGAAACCCCCCTAAAAAGGGGCGGAAGGCGGTTCTTCCTGAAAGTATCGAAACGGCTTTTATTAATGCAATGACGTCTTTTGTGAATCTCGGCTGTTCAGATATGAACGTCCAACCTCACCGCCCACAATTACTCCAAATGCTACTTGCGTGCCTTGAGAGTGGACCAACGGTACTCCAAGACCAGCATTCCCTGTTCAAATGATTGTACAAAGTGGTTTGCGATAAAGTGAAAGTTGTGACGGGTAATTCAAGAATGGAAGAACGACGTGCCCAGTGGACAACGTATAATAAGATTAACACCTTCTTTGATTCACTACGTGAAAAGCTTGTTGACCTTGGATTTGCTCGAGTTAGAATGGATGGTGAAGACAGTGAAGGTGAACTGGTGTTTCTTCCGAACCAGTTGAATCGTATTGTTAATCTTGACGAGTCAGGATTGACTTTAGACGGCTGTTCTACTCTCGCGGGAGGTCGTGCACCCACTCGGTATGGGCCTGGAAGCAAGAATATTGCCTGCGGTGCTGATCGCACGAACAAGAGCAGCTCCCGAATCACTCTTGTTGCTGGAAGCAATGCGGCTGGATACCCTCTTGTCCCGCACTTCAAACTAAAATCGACAGCAAAGGAGGAAGACGACAAGAGAATCCACGCAGCTTTTATCGACGGTGTCCCAAGAACAGAGGGTGTTTATGGTCGCGTTGGGCGAGTTGAAAATGGTATTACGGTCAACTGTAACGAGACTGCAGGAATGAACGCTGAACAATTTTTGAAATATATCGAAGACAACGTTATGAGGCTTTCGTTTCCTGATGCGGCTGATATTCTGGGACAGCAAGTCCTTTTGATCCTTGACAGTGGTCCAGGAAGAAAATACAAAGAGTTGCTGGTGAAGCTTCGTGCAAAGGGCTTTTATCTTCTTCCAGGCGTGCCAAATACAACGCATGTCACCCAACCAACCGATAGAAACTATGGACCGTTCAAATCAATGTACAGACGAAATTTAGAAAAGCTTGTATTGCACTGTCGAAAAAATGGGGAGAAGGTCCGCCAGACCGATTTTCCACTACTTGTTTTTGGTAAGCGAAAAAATTGGTACGAACCGGTCCAACTTGAGCACGCTTTCCACAAAGCCTTTGCAGTGGATAAGACAAAGGCGGTGTGGGCTAAGATTGGGATTGCCCCTTTTACGCGTCAATGCCTCGACGGCCAGAAAGTTGCTCACAAAATAATTATGCTCCCAGACGGTAGGATTGATATTGACGCTGATCCTAAGACGGCTGAGCTTGTTGAATGGGAACAAGTGAATGATACGGCAATTCAAGTACTGAATGAAGCTGGATTTAATGGTGAGATTTACCGAAGGTATGTTCCAAGGCTATCAGCTTCTGCAACAGCACCAGTGACAAAAGCTGGAACAAGGGAACGGCAAAATGCGATTGGCAGTCTAAAATACTCTAGTGAGAATTTTATTAGGACCAAAGGCAATACACTGAACAGTGACGACTACTTCATTGCTGAAGAACGGAAGAGGCGACAACAGCTTGTTAAAGATCTGGAAACAGCAAAGAAGAAATCCCAAGCAGTTAGTGAGTTGAATGCAAAGGCGACTGCAGTGATTCAGGAATTGGTATCAAAGGGGAAAGATGTTTACAAGGAGGAAGATGCCAAGTCACTTCCAATCTCAACACTCAAACTGTTGTGCCAGTGGAAACAGCAGAAGAAAATCCCTGCAAAGAAAGACAGTGTATTTGGTATGTGGATGAAAGTMAGGAATCTCCCTCATGCAGAGCCTTYCTGGAGGGACTCTGATGAATCTCAAATGCAGAATCTGAAGGAAGAAGATATCACAATCAGGGAGACTGCATTAGGAAGGGAGAGAGTTAGGCAACAAGAGGATGCTCTAAACTGCCTTGCAGTCATGACTGAGGAGGAAATAGCTGCTAGAAATCTTTCTCCTTCACTTATGGAGGCTCTGAAGGAAGCAGTTGGTGGTGAAGTTGCTGAAGTGTAAGTTTTATGGTGTCAAGAGAAATCTGTTCTTGGAATCGATTTCGATTTTGATTTTATTGCATGCAAATAAGCAGTGTCCGGATGTCGATTTCGATTCGACGACGTGAATTCTGAGAGGAAAAAAGCTCGGAAAGCTCCTCCGAGCTCCGAGCTTCGAAAGTTCTGAGCTTGGAAATAAGAGTGAAGCCCAGTAGTTAGCGCCTTAGAGAGCGCTCCAGTAGTAAGGGCCTTAGAGAGCGCTCCAGTAGTAAGTGATTCATGTTAAGAGAAATCTGTTCTTGGAATCGATTCCGATTTCGATTCTATTCCATGGTAATAACTAGTCTCCGGAAATCGTTTTCGTTTCGCCGATTTGATTTCTCAAAAAGTGAGCTCGGAAACCTCCGAAAATAGGAAATAATTTGATATAAAATAGTTCCTTTTTGGTTCCAGGTGGAACTAAGTGACAGCTTAGGCTCCAGGGTGTAATATATCACACTGTTCTTCACGTAGGCCTGTGTAGAAATAGTACCGCAAAAAAGCTGTCACGCAATATTTAACACCCCAGCCTCGTACTTACATGTGCTACATATTTTGTGGTAGAAATTCTACACAGCAACCGTACCAGCTTTTTTGTTGTTGGTTGTATCTTTACCTCTTTCAGTTGCTTGAGACAGAGAAAATTACAGTGAGTATGCAACCATTTTGCAACTCCTCTATCTGTTGACTCACAAGAGGTGCATGCATTTTTTGCTCACAGAATAAGAGCAACGCTCACATACAAATAAAGGCAGCAGGAACGCTGGCATAGTAGTAGGAGTAGTACACCAGCAAGTAAAACAGTCAGGGCAATGGGGGAGATACCATAAGATTTTGCTTGAGTTAATGGATCATGTACATGGAATAGTGGATGAAGGAGGTGACAACAATAATCATTTTCCAAGTGATACATTATTCACAGCAGAGCAGCTACTAAGTCATCTAACCCCCAATCATATCTGCAAGTTCTTTGCAAAGAAAGTGCCACTTGGCCGCAAGGATCCAGGTGTGGATGATAATCCTATGCATGGTAGATCTACCACTCTAATCTACTACAAGAAGGCAATATCATACTTCATGCCAAACAAGCTGCACAAATGGACTGTTGTTGCTGGTGTTGGAAGTGGGAATCCTACCAAGTCCCAGAAAGTTAACGATTTAATTGTAGCAGTAGTCCTTGGGCAGGCAAGCAGCATGGATTGGCCTCTTACCAAGGATAAGTTTTTGTAAACACTAGAACTGATGGGGAATCATGGTTCCATTACCAATTGACTGAGGTTCCTTGCAATGCTTAAGTTCCAGTTCCACTTGATTCGTAGCAATGACGATATGGCTCATGTTGGCAA